CACTAGAGACACGTCTGCACGCTTCGGCACTCCACAGCGAACTGACGCGAAACTTAAATCCGAAACTTTGTTTCCAAAATTTCGAACTTTTTAAATTTGGAATGTTTCTACTTTCTTTCTCTTCTAAAGAGTATCTATATTATCAGGAACTAAAACTGTAGCATTTTTGTCAGAAAATCAAATATTTCTTTCTTGAAATAAATGATTATAACAAATCTCAAAGTCTGAAACCAAGATCAATTGAATTATTATCAGTTGAATAAAAATAAATTCATATTGTCTTAATATTTTCATGAGTTATTTATAGAAACTAAATTTATATTATAGACAATTAAAATTTTTAATAATTATTATTTATATAATTATTATAATATTTTCTACTTATTAAGTATTATATCTTTCTACTGTTTCCTGTTCCACTTAGAATTTTAAGTTTTCTACACTTCTAAGAAGTTTGAAGAGATCAAAGTATACATACATATATAATACATATAGTCCTATAATAAATATTATAATACTAAATAAATAAACTGGAGATGTTTATACAAATTCATATTTTTATGCATATAATTAGACGAATGGGACATAAATACTGATTTACTAACAATTATAATGAAAAATTGCATATGTATATTATAGATATTATATAATTATTATAGATATAATATTATAATAATATAGTCATATTACTTACATTGATTTATATAAATTATTATTCATTTGGATTATGAGAGTTTCGAAGCACCAAAATAGTAGAAAGTTTTAGGTTTAGAAGAGTTGTGAGGTTTTGAGGTTTCAAGATTTTGATTGCCCCAGTCCTACTTTTAATTCTTGAATCGTAAGAACCAAGCGAATGACCTACAAATTACAAATACACGTATAATTAATTCTTACCTAGATTCTAAATATGTAAATATTAAACAATCTAGTTGAATTACGTGATTATGTTAAAAACGACAATTTTCATGCGGAAATATTAATATTTATTTAGGTGATGGAAATAATTAAGAATCATATCGTATTGAAACGGAGTGAAGCTTTCAACAAATGTGAATCAAAGAAATATTTTTTTCAAAATAGGAATTTTATAATGAAGATCATCTTTATATGCGTAGAGATAATTCAACATATTTTATTTTCATTGATTAAGCTCATATTAACTTTGAAAGCTGCTAAAATTTTGGCGGTGGAAAATAAGTTCGTTAAAACAATATAACAACATTTGAAATAATATAAGATTAACGTTAACCAGATTATACATACCGGAATTATTTATTACATATATACATACATTGGAATTGAGTATATGTATCCCACGGATATTTGACCATATCCAAGGAACCATACAAGTGCCTCAATGTAACTGTAACACAGCCAACAGTTGATTGACGTCTTCCACCATCCTGGGATCAAGCTCTTTTTAACAAACGTAAAAGGAACAAAATTAGAACCGTAATTCACCAGTTTGGCCCCTTGTATCTCAGAGACTAATTGCCTGCACGAATCGAAAATTTTCTATGATCGATGTTTCATCATAAATTATCACTAAGTTATCAAACTGAAATCCAAAAGCGCCCCATTTCTCGGTCACTCTTAGCCCAATGTTCGTGTATCAAACAAACTGTAAATTATCATTTAGCATTTAAAGCAAAGAGGAACAGAAATATAAACGTGATTGCGAACAAATTGCTCGGTTACTGCTCACACTAAACGAATACAAGCGCGAATACTCTCGCTCTATGTTCTTCTACTCGTTCGGCCTAAACGCACCTTTAAAGGGAAGGTTTCTGAAGCACGTGGCCTCTTTACTTTTTCAAAGTAGATTCGCGTGCAAACATTGCTGGTAAAATGCATCCGTAGATCGAATCACGCGAACCGGCAAAATTACTGACCAATTCTACTGGCGGAGTTGCGTGTGCGTACGTCAACGCGTTAAGGACATTTATTTGTCGGTGTATGCAAAATTCGTCGTCCCGTATAACGAAAGGAAATTCGGGTCATGAGGTTACATCGCCGCTCTGGAGGTGGCGTTCCTCGTTGAACGCTTGCGATAATTCGGCACACGAAACAATCTCGAACAAGAACAGCCCCTAGCTACTCGTGACTATTCGCCACGTGCCCGTTAACACTGAAAGGAGAATCAGGCTCGATCGCGATTAGAGCACGCGCTCGCTCTAATCTATCGGTCGATATATGGAATGAAAAACGACAGGTGACCTCTTGTTTGATGATTAATCGCGGCGAGCTGCTTCTAACGTGATTGGAGAAGAGAAAGAATATCAATGGCTCAGACTACACAAATATCGCATATCTACTTTTTGTGAAATTTCAGTTTTATATGCAACACATAACTGTCGACTGTTTCTTCATTCTTCAAAGATGATATTTATATCTACTTTATAAATCTCTGTCTCTTCGTAACAAGTCTCTGCATTCAAATACTTTCGCGAGCCACTTTGTATTTTCTATATTTTGTTCAATTATCGTATGAATCCTTAACACATCGTTAACACATCGTGTTAAATCATCCCAAAAGTGTGCGTTTAAATCCATTTGTTAAAGAAAAGCTCCATCGAAATCGTATATCATTGTTTGCAGTAATTCCATTGGAATTTTTTCAAAAGTTTTTTTGAAAATTCGTCATCTGGTCTTTCAAACTAATCCTTCTAACTTTAAAAAAAAAAAAAAAATGAAGTCGTTTGGTACTATTTTAAAGAAGTTATTTTATTTTAAAGGGAGCCCGATCATCAATGAGACTAACTGTGCTCTGTCGATATCTTTCTGTTTCTTAAATCATTTTCATGCGAAGGCACACTCAAATAAGCGAAGTAAATGAAAATCATTTCGATAATGAATCAAGAGAAATATAAGGACCAAATAGATTCTGCTTTAACGAATTGCTCCATCAACTTTCATATAAATTAATACCCCTTTTTAATTATAAATTAATTATTATTATAAATTAATAAATTATAAATTAATTCCTTTATTCTTATAAAACTTCCTTATTTCTTTCTATCTTATTCGCAGTATTATATTATATGTTACTTTTATTCATTTTCATCGATGGTTTTACTGCCTACAATAAGCAGATTGACAACTTTGCGTAAACGAGAATCGACGAAGCTATTCAGTGATCGACTGTCCTTCATAATTAGCTCAATGCAGATGTTCTGTAGTCATTTCTCTGTTCTTTGTCTTTTCTGATTTTCCTTACTTGTGGATTTCTTTTTTTTTTTAATTCTCCCGAGTAATTATTGAATTACACTGGAGCTGGTCTGTGAGATTAACAAAACATCCGCTTGTTCATCCCTACAATTTAAAATCAAAAATTTTTAGGTATACGTATTAATATGTAGGTGTACAAGTGAATAATCCAAATTTTCCAGCGAAACTAAAGTTCATCTAAAAAACAACAGAGCAAACAGTATTTAACCAAAATAATTCGCTGTTACTTCCTGTAACTTTCAGACATTTACCAGGCAAGCGACGAATCCCATCACGATGAAATGCCGTATAATCTTGAATCTCTAAACAAGATCTAATCGTTGAGTCATTTTTATATCCGATCCGCTAATTCGAAGTGAGTGTCGGATAAGGCATGTTACATTGATCAGAACAGATGATGATCCGAAGTAACGTCTAGTGAGTAAACTGGCCACTGCAAGATGTCCCAATCGTCGAGACTTGTTGTGTCTTTCATATGTCGTAGAAGCAGTATTTACCCTAGCGTTGTCACACAGTAATTTCATAGAACGTTTTCCTTTGCCAGTGTCCGAGTGTGACGATTGGATCTTGTCTAAAGACAAAACACTCTGTGATGAAACTCGTCATTCTTCTGACAGATGGTCTCGAATCATGAAAAGCGACGACAAATACTCTGCTCGAATAACTCACGGTATTTCTTCTTTTAAATAAACTTAGTTTCACTGGCAAGTTTGAATTATTTGTTTGCGTATCTAATATTTGACAAAGTGATCTATTTGCAATGTAAGCACATGATGAATAGACTGCACATATTTATGCAAATTCATATTTTTATAAATGTAACTAAAACGATGCAAATTACGAAATGTTACTGTTACTGTTAAATAACATAAATCAGATCGTTGTAAATCGCCTGTGATTCGACGATAATATTAGGTTGACCGGAAAGTGTCTTTCTTTTACAGATATGTCTTTTACAACAACGCATCTTTATACAAAAATGAAACCTAATCTGTCGAACGTTGTGATCTTTAGTTTGATAGAACAAAATGGATCATACGTAATTCGATAAAATAATATAAAACGGAAAATGTGCATCCATTATTTTCTTATAAAACGAAAGAATCTTTTCAGACGATTTAATAAGTGAAAATTCATGACACTCAATTTTTCGTTTGAAATTTATTAAGGATAGTTGACGGATAATTGATAGAGATACGTCTAAGGATCTCATTTAGAGTTTGAAGGCACCTGGACATGTTCCAAATCTGTATCAATAATGGACACAGTGTTCGGAATCGAGGCCAATTTGTAAGTGCAGGGTAATTGTGTGCCAATCACGAAGAAACGTTGGTCAATTACGCTCAGTTCCTTATTTTGTAGGTCACGTTGAGATATCGATTGCCGAATAGACAATTCCATTTTTCGCTTTCAATTAAGGAAGTATTCTAGTTCAGAAGGTTCGATATAAATCTTAGACAACTTTTCGACAATTTCTCGAGTTTTGCGCTACCTCATAGTTTAAAATGAAGATGTGTTCCCATAGTATCCAAAAAAAATTTGTAACAGTATTGAATTTATAAATATAGAAAGAAGACATACAGTGACTCGCAAAAGTATTCGTACGTTTACTATAAAAAAAATGTTTATGTGCGTATCGTGCACCTCACGTAAAACATTTTGATATTTTATTAGCACTATAATGAGACGCTACTGCCAAGATTACATTAACAAAATTTGAATCTAATCCAAAACTATACACAGAAGTTGCGAAATATTTACTACAAACTTATATTTAATAAAGAATTAGTATACAGTGTGAATACCTGATCTTCAAAACCCTTTCTCTCGAAAACGAAGCCTCAGACGAAAAAATGTTATTCTTTTTTTTCAACTTATTTTTGCACGTACAATCATCACCCGACCGATTGTACCATGTCTTCGAAGACACCCTGTATATCACCTGATTATTAGCATGTACGTGACGAACAGACAGATAAAACATAATGCAACATTTTATATATCAATAGACTCATTGAAAATTACTTCATATTAGCATTGCGTGCAAATATAACTATATATATTACTACTAGAATATTACTCCAGCCCAGCCCATAACCCAACCATTTTCTTTCTTTATTTATTGTGATTATCATCATTGATTACAATCATCGATTACAATCATTAATTACAGTTGCAGTTACACTATCAGTCATAGTCCATCATAAGTTATATCCACTATAATTAATAATAATTATCTCTCTCATCAAGAAATTTAAGATTGGACTACATAAAAATCTGCCCGCTTACTCCAAATTGAGACTGTAATCATGATCGTAAACATTGTAACAAATTCTATCGAAGATTTTGGCAAACCTCTCGGAAATTAACGCCGAGCGACGGTAACATGTACATGGAAAAGTTGCTCAGAATAATGACCTTGATAACATACTATTTCAAGGTCTTCAAAATTGACAAGGCGTGCCGTGCCCTCTTCTACATAATCACCAACAATTTCGCAATCGCGTTATACGAGGGCGCGGTCTTCGAATCGTCACGTTATACGAAGTTCTACTGTACTATGTTTCCATTATTATCATGACACACGTTTTAAAATAGTTGTCTTCTGTTCGAAATATTTACGCAAGTTACGATAAGGAAAGTTGGTCGACGACGTCGCCGTTACGGTACGAGTAAAGTCTAAACGCTTCCGTGCACGTAAACCATTAGGCTGTCTGTAACGAAATTTCTTTTTCGGACTCCTCTCTTTGTAGATCGATGCGTCGCGACTACAAGGCTCGTTCTGTAAAGGCATGTAGCTTCGTACCACCATCTTTCTGTTCCGCGTTTTTACCCTCTACGCGCCGCGCCGTCTCCGTTTCCACCCCACAGCTTCAATCCCTTCGCTGAAACATTTCAGTCCGTCCCGGGCATCCACCCGGCTCGGTGCTCCACCCTCTCGACTTCTACTTTTGGTATCTCCACTCGTCGCGTTTCCGCAAGAAGTATCACTTGAATTCTTTTCTAATTTTCGATCACTTAAAAAATATGATCTTTGGTAGAGCATATTTGTTTTCACAAACTCTATGAAATTTTTCTGTCCGTTACTTTGTGCGACTCACTGTTGTTTGGATGTTATCGACTGTGTCTTGAATATTAGCTGTTCTAGAGTCGTGTGATTCGTAGATAACGTAGCAGAAAACAGTAATCTTCGATCATTCGAAAAATACGATTTTTTAATAATCATTTTCCTTTACAAATTTTATTAATCTTGTTTCATCGTTCTGTGTGATTAACTGTTGTGAGTATTAATTACTCTCGGCTTTTGCGATGTGTAGATAATTTTATAGAAAATAAAAGTAATTTATAGTGGCTCAAAAAATATCTTCCGAAATTTATTAGTTTTCTCTATATCTGTATCTATTCTAGATATAATCTATATCTATCCAAAAACATAAAATTCTGCATAATTGCCCTACCTCTAAGAGTTTTAGACATATTCAAGAAAATACATTTTCCATCCCAACTTTGATAACTGCTTTTATACCCTAAATGTGGGTGATCGTTAATAAAAGAAGATAAGTGTCGAATATTTTTGGCTATATCACGCATCTGTAAAATTCCATCAGAATCAGTGCGTTATACAGGGTGGTTGGTAACCGGTGGTACAAGCGGAAAGGGGGTGATTCTACGCAGAAAAAGAAGTCGAAAATATAGAATAAACAATTTTTTTTTATTTTTTATTTTTTTTAATTTTTCCATCGAGATAACGATCTGCAGTGAGATCCGTTATAACGTACCGCACGCGTACCGAGTGAAAATTCAAAGTCGATTTTCTCGAAAACAAAGCCTCAAACGAAAAATTTTTATTTTATATTTTCGACTTCTTTTTTCGCGTAGAATCACCCCCTTTCCGCTTGTACGAACAGTTACCAACCACCCTGTATTTGAGTACTGTTCTTTGTAAGTAGAATTATAGAAATACCTCCCTTTTTACAGTACATATTTGTCATGTTGTATAATTTGTGTAGCGAAAAGTGATGGACATAGCTAAGCCTAGTATTTTGTATTTCATGTAAAAGCTTTAGAGAACAATTGTAGAATCTAACTTCAAGTTCTTCTGAATGGAATCTATAAATAAATATGCACGATTTCCTCAAAGTAGGTTGAATGACGAAGTTGAATGATCAATTCTTCAAGAACAGATAGCATCGGTCAAGCAGGAGTAAACACGCTAGAGAATGTAACTTAACATCGTGATAACGGTAGCCGGTATTTCGTTAGTCTAAAAGATAAAAGGGATCTCATTACTTCTTACGTACACAATATACAGATACAATATAGATACATAATATACAATAACGTAAATTCAACGAGTTTTTAAATTTATTACGATACATGTAATTTACGTTACAACCCAATAATATTCATTAATATTAGATAAGACATTTCTCAGATACTTCTCATCCAATCAAACAAGTATCAAGGAATTTCAGTTTTATATGTATCGTACCAAATACGTTATAAATACAATTGCAATTGCGACAAATAGTCTGCTGATTTTTATGCATTTATAGGAAATTTGCAAGTGCAAGATTGCATATGATATAAAAAAATATCCAAAGTATAGTGCTCTCTATAATAGTTGGCAGGTAAAACAATTTTCTACCGACGCTTCACTTTTTTCGTTTTTACTTTTTTTTTTCAAAATATGAATTTCCATAAAAATCTACAGTCTAATAGCAAGTATAAACATTACAATATAAAAAACAGGACGAATTTATTAGGTCACGCTATAAGTAATTCGGTTTTGCTGAGATATAAGTTTAAAACGACGGCAGTTGTTACTATCGAAGTCTTAAAAGATTACAATAGAAAATGTAATAGAAAAAGTTAGTGAATTATAAAGAATATGAGAAAATACTGGTATCTAATATCTAGTATAAACGACTGCATCATTTATAAGATGACCTAATAAATATATAATAAGATATAATGTATAATAATGTAGAATAAATATATGATATACAACTTAGTATATTATTGTATAGCCAAGGAACAATACCGCCAACAAGAGAATCGTACATTTTTAACCGGTGAGATCGAAGGAAATTGCACGTTCAAGGATTCACAAAATATCTGACATGTTGAAAATGTTCTTTTCTGAAAATGTTCGCAGGCAAAGGTTCTCCCACGGGGTCAACAAATCCTCCTCGGACACTGAGCTAGCGCAGGGTAAAAGTAAAAATCGAAAGAGTAAATCGAAGGAAAAATGGCCCTTACTGGAAGGGCTAACAGTCGACGAATTGGCTCG